GGGCCCTATGGGTAAATATAGGGACCTGCCTTGGTACCCAGGGGTGAAGACATTCAACTGAATGCCATTGCCACTGATTTCCACTACTGCACAAACACACAGCAGGAGTGTGTGTGTGTGTGTGTGTGTGTGTGTGGTGTAACAAACATGACTTCCATGGCCTCTCATGTTAACAGTGCTCAAATGGAGACAAACTCCAAAAAGCTGGCAGGAAAGCATTTCCCAAGGAAGACACAGCCAGAGAATAGGCAGGGCTCCAGAATGGCAGGGCCAATTCTCTGTGGGTAAAAGAAGGCATTCAGTTTCTCTAATTGGGTGCTAGAGCACCTTGGGTCCTCAAGGCCTTTACAGACCTCTTAGGCTTTGCACAGGAGGCAGGTGTGGGTGTCTTGCTTGCCTGGCTCAGAGTGCTCAGAGCTGAGGGTGGCTGAGCTCTGGAAGTCTCCAGTCTGGGAAGCAGCTCTTCACCCCAGACCTTGACGATGTGCAGGTGTGCAGTCTGGCTGGCAGCGAGTGAACTGTGCGGACAGACCCTGGGACAGATCCCAGTTTGTTTCTGGTGCCCACTTTGAGTAGGACCTCACCCAACCCCTTCCCCCTCTTCAGTTTCCTCATCTGCCAAGTGATAGGGAAGAAAGAAAGAAAGAGAGAGAGAGAGAGAGAGAGAGAGAGAGAGAGAGAGAGAGAGAGAGAGAGAGAGAAAGGGAAAATAAAAGAAAGAAAACCTCCTGACACTGACAGGCTGTGGTCCAAGAAGTGTTGAGTAGAAACTCCTGAAGAATTCTAGGACATAGGCTTTGTCCCCAGTCGTTTCTGAAACTTGTCCCCAGACAAGGAGTTAGATCCATGAATTAGGTGCAAAAACCCTGGAACCAGGTGCCTGGGTTCAACTCTAACCTAGGTTTGCTGCTTACTAGCTGTGTGACCTTGGACCATCTTGGCTCTGCCTCAATTTTCTCATCTCTAAAACAGAAATTAACAATGGTGCCTTCTCACAGGAGAAGGTTACCCAAGCCGATACATGTAAAGCACTTAAAGGCATTCCCGGAACAAGGGAGCTGCCAACATAATTTGCCTGAACACTGGATATGGCTTCACCCCTCTGGTCATCCCATCTAGAAACAGACAGGCAAGAGCAGAACACCTGCACAATGCCTGCTGGGCTCGTGCTTCCCTGGAAGTGTCTCTGCCTCAGTTTTTTTTCTTTTTTTGCAGGGCTGAGGATAAATCCAGGGTGCTCACATGCTAGGCAAGTGCTCTACCACTGAGCTACAGCCCTGCCCAGGTTACTTATTTTCCAGTAGGAAAGAAAGTCAGTCTCTTTCTCCTCCCTAACAGCTGCAGGCAGAGTCAGCTGGTGTGAGAAGGGGAGGGAGGCCAGTTGACCCCTCCCACCCGTGAGGGTGCTGCCAGAGGCCAGTAGGTCAGTGCAGTGCAGAATGGTTGAAGTTGTCCTGCCCCCCATGTGCACTTGTACACTCCTGCTCCCTGAGGGCAGGGCTTCTGTTTTGTTCTCTGCTACAGCCCAATGCCTAAAACAATGTCTGGCACAGAGCACACGTGGAATAAATATTAACTCAATGAAAGGAAGCAGACATTCCACTGACCGGATCTGCCTTGGTAGCAGGGTCTGGTCTTTATTTTCCATCAAGAGCAATGGGCAGAGTTTATGGCTAAGAAAGAAAAGAGGAATGTGTTGCCGGGCATAGTGGCACACAGTGTAATCCCAGATACTCAGGATGTGCTGGCAAGAGGATTGAAAGTTGAAGGCCAGCCTGGGCCACTCAGCGAGACCGTCTCAAAAATAAAAACCCTTGGTTTGATGGCACACATTTGTAATCCAAGTACTATAGGAGGCTGAGGCAGGAGGATCTCAAAGTCGAGCCCAGCCTGGGCAACTTAGCAAGATTCAGTCTCAAAATAAAAAGAAAAAAGGGCTGGAGGGATAGCTTAGTGGTAGAGCACAAAGCCTTGGTTTTGATCCTCAGTACAGCAAGAAAAGAAAAAAGAACATGCTCCAGATTTTTCTCCTTAAGACTATTGCTCTGAATTCTCTCAATTATCCACGGGGCTCTTCTTCCAACGCCACCTTCCACACCTCCCAAAGGGCTTAGAACCAGGAGGGACAAGATTGCCAGGGTCTGTACTTCAGACCTTGGGGAACCATATAAGCTCCTGGAGCTTGTGTTACCAGTCTGTAAAAGGGCCACTGTCACCCCACAGCCCCAGCTCCATCTTCTCTTCCCCTTCCCCACTGCTCAGTGAAAGCACTTAGAGACCTGTGGGGGTGAGGTTTGCCTTTTTTGCTGAGAAGGGAGAGCACCTTTTTTGAAAATGCAAAGTGACAGTGACATTGCCATTAATGGAAATTGCCATCTGGTGAGGTAGCCAATGCATGTAATCCCAGCTACTCTGAAGCTGAGGCAGGAATGTCGAAAGTTCAAGACCAGCCTGGGCAATTTAGCGAGACCCTGTCTCAAAATAAAAATTTAAAAAGACTGGAAATGTAGCACAGCACTCTCTGGGTTCAATCTCAAGTAACTACAACAACATCAAAACGATTGCTATTAATAATAATTACCATTCATGGATACATTTATGATGTCTCAGGTACCCAGCCAAACACAGCATCTCTGTTGTCCTCCCAACAAATTTTTGAGAGTGATTTGTAAGCCCATTCCACAGATAAGGCAATGGGGATTTGGGAAAAGTTCCATGTTTGTAAAGGAGAGAGCTAGAATGAAATGTGATTTGGGGGAGGGGACATTCAGGGACCAGCTAGAACAAAGCTAGAATGCTGGCAGTGTAGTGGCACCTTCTACATCAGCATGCCTGAGTTGAAAGCAAACTCGGAGCTAGTTCTGGCTGTGAGGTTCAAGGCATTTTATGTAACCCCTTCACATTGCAGCTCCTTTTCTTCAAAAGGGGCTAATAAAAAGATCCATCTCCAACTGGGAGAGCCTTGGGACTTATTATCAATAATAATTTATTGTTCTCCCAGTGGACTGCACAGCAGGGTTAATACCCTTTGCAAACCATGGCTGCCCTAAAAGCCCTCAGTTTATTTCTCCATGACTCTCAGGACTTTGGAAAAAAATTGGCCTGTCCAAAATGTCTCAGCGAGCCAAGGAGAATGAGGTGAGAACTCAAGTCCGAAGTTCCCAGGAGGAAGTGGAAGACTCTGGAGCAGCATCTGCAGACGGTTATTACCAAAAAACATTTGGGTTCCCTTCCCTTTTCTTTTTGGTACTGGGGATCAAACTCGGGACCTTGCACTTTTGAGGCAGGCGCTGGAACCACTGAGCTAAATCCCCTGGGTTCCCTTTTTAAAAACATATAAACACCCTCCAGGCTACCCTGCACCAGTATGTCAGTAACGCGTGATTAGGAGCCTGAAGATGTGCACGGGGTAGGTCAGTCTCTGTTCTCCATCAGCTTCCCAGTGGCCCCACTGAGGCCTAGCAGGGGGTCCTAGGTCCCATCCAGCCCCCGATAGTTTAGTTCCTCCAGGTCCTGGAGCACCTAGTTAGATGAGAAACAGAGCAGTAGGGTCTCCTTTCTATCATTTCTTTTATAAAAGTTTTAAAGCAATTTACATAGAATGTTCCTCTTTTCTTTTAAACAGAGCTCAAGGAACCAGCCTTCCCTGCTTCTGAACCAGACCTCAAACATGATGGGCCAGGGGGAAGATGCCGCTGGGAGCAGCTCTCTTATGTTAAGTCAATATTACAAGTGGGACCAGGGATTTAGCTCAGTGGTTTCGCCGACTGCTGTGCAAGCACAAGGACCCGAGTTTGATCCCTGGTACCAAAAAAAAAAAAAATATTACAAGCAAAACAAACTTGATCCTTTAAAAATGTATGTTGCATCTGCTTTTTTTTTTCCTAACAAGTCTCTCCCGTCATCCAGCCCCTCTCCTCTCTTTGCAGTGCTATGGATAAAACCACCCCCCACCCATGGTAGGCAAACGATCTACTCTCAAGCTACACTGCAGCCCGTTTCTGCCTTTGTATTGATTCATTGGGAAGTCATTTCAGTTTTTGAGTATGTATTCCATGCTGAATGCTGCTGCCCCTCTGCTGAAAGTGTCAAGAGAGGGAGAAATGAGGAACTCTGGGCAGGTCTCCTGAGGGAGGAGGCACTGCCCAACCTTGGCCAAGAAGACTGTGCTCCTGTAGGCATGAGCTTCCATACGAGTGAAATGCCAGAAGTGCAACATCGGGAAGATGCAGACAAGGGGAAGGGGCACAGAAGTGGAGAACAGTTGCTGGGAAAAGGCCTCCTCCCCCTTGTAATTCGACACTCCCAATTTGCTATGGATTTAGGAACCAAGCATCACCGGTGTTACACCCAAGAGTGACAAGCATAGAAGGGGACAAGTTTGGGCCACTCAGAAGCACTCAGAAGTCCTCTGTCAGCTCAGCAGTGTCCTGGCTGGATGGGGTCCAAGCTAACACCTGTTCACACGGAATCTGGGAACCTGGCACACAGGAGGAGCAGGAGGTTCTGTGCTGGAGTAAAGGACCAGGCCCACCAGTAGGCTGCACCACCCGCCCCACCCCAGCCTCTACCATTTGACCTACGACCTTAATTTAGGTGCATAGGATGAGGGAGGTGGAGGCGGAGTGGGCACACCTGACAGCCCCTCACACACACACACACCTCTCCCTTCTCCTCAAGGAGCCTCTAGCTGGAGTACTCTCCAGCCCAAATCGTAGAAGAGGCCAGGGAGCGCCAGAGACAGGAGACACAAAGTGGAGACCAGGAGCCTAACCGAGGAAAGATGGGCTTTCCAGACGCTCTTGGGAAAGGCCTTCGCCCCAGGAACCCGCCCCCTCAAGCCCGGTCCCCCTGGAGCCCTGGGGCTGCAGCGGGACGGCCTAGCCTCGGGGCCGCTGTGCAGTACACAGCCCTAGCGCCGCTCGCTCCTCCAAGTCGCCGGGTCCCGGGCGGAGGGAGGGGCGCAAGGGGGTGCGGCGAACCACGCCAAGGGTTCTTACCTCAGCGCGGGCGTCCGTCCGACCGAGCGCAGTTTGCGGCTGAGACTGCGGGGCTGGGGAGGCTCCCACGGGCTTGACTCGCGCCTCCCCCCGCCCTAAGCCCCCAGACCCTTCGGTGGCCCTGAGCGAGGTCGTCGGGACCTGGGGACAGGCGTCGCGCGGGCGGGAGGAGGCGGCTCCTGCGGGGCGCGGGGGGCGGGGCGGGGGTGTCTGCGGCCCCGCCCGGGAGGGGATGAGGGAGCGATTGTACCGGAGAACAAAGGCGGCCCGGCAGGCTCGGCGCCCCCGGGGCCTGGCCCTGAACTTGAACTTGTACTTGACACTTTTTCCGGAAGGTGGCGAAGAAGCCCGGCAGAGCTGGGACGGGGCGCGTGGATCCCCTGTTGCGCTCCGGTGACGGAGCCGGGCGTCCCCAGAGTCCCGGAGGGCCCGAGCTGCCTTCAGCGCCGGGGATCCTGAGGTCCCCGCGTCCCCTCGGAGCGTCACAGTGCACCCGAGGTCCCAGGTCCCAGCGCTGAGGAGCTGGTGGGAGTCTGCGCCCCTCCCCTCCCCCTCCCCGCCCCCACCCCGGGCTGGCCCCGCGGAGCCGCTCCGCACCGGGCAGGCCGGATTCTCTGCACGTCTCGTCGGCAGCCTCTATTCAGCCGCTAATTGAACGTTAATGGCAGGTGCGGATGAGGTCACCGGAGCTGGCTTTTCTCACACATTTTTCATGCAAATTCGCGAAACTCTAAACAAATTTGAATAAAAAGCTCTTTGTGCAGCGCGTTCCCCAGTCCACTCCCTCCCGCTCGGGGTCCTGGCTCCTCCCGGTGCCCCGGGGCTCCAGACCGCTACCCCGCAGGAGGAGCCGTGCACTTCTCCGGGCAGCGCCGCCCGCCAGTGGTCCTGGCCCGGCTACAGAGGGGCAGGGGAGGGACGTCTCACTGGGGTCCGGAGGCGTGTCAGGCTGATGGAGACATCTGGACAGAGGACACCTGTGTTTGCATCCGGGCGGCACACACAGCCCCGCTGGCCACCATGGATGCCTGATGGAGCCTCACCCTCCCCTTTCGATAGGAATAAAGATAGTGCCATTATGTCTGAGGATTAAACCATAATTTAAAACGCAAACAAGCACTTCGAACACTGCCTGGCCTAAGGAAGTATTCATTATTGTCTGGGTTCCAAGGTTTTGTGAGAAGGAAGCCTGAGATGGACACATGGCTGTGTTTTTGCCCATACAGGAAAAAACTTGCCAAGGGCTTTCAGAAGGTTCATGACTCCTGCACCTGCTTCTGGTCAGAGAGATGAGATTTGGAGCACAATTTCACTGCATCCCAGCAGTGTGGTTTGGTGTATTTCTTAGCCTCTCTGAGCCTGTTTCCTAGTCTGTAAAATAGGATTGTCTCATGGCATCTCAGTGAAAATTAAATGAGAAGACACTAATGGGAGTTTACAAGGAGCTTGGGGGATGGCCCCCAATCCAGAACTTTCAGGACCCCTCTTCTGAGGGCAGGGGACCTATAATTACCATCTCCTCCCTCCAAGCAATGCCTTGGATAGGCCCTGGCCTGCATCTTCTTACCCAGGTGACCCTAGCCCAAGTCAAGGGGACAGACTTTCCAAGCCCTTGTGAGACTTCTTACTCCATCCTTCCCATCATCCCCAGGGTCCCCACCACACCTCAAGACACCAGTTGTCTTTGCTAGTGACTGAGTCTCACTTTCCTCTCACACCCACCCAGAAAAACTGACCAGAAACATGGGAGGCTTTGCAAAGAAATTTTATTCACTGTGGGCTGAGGCAGGAAAAGCAGAGGGTTCACAAGGTGGAAAGGGGTCTCTTTCCCAGGACTGGGGCAGTCTCAGGACCATCCAGGGGGACCCAGTGGCCTTGGAGGAATCCCAGTGACTCCCATTCCTGCTTCTCCAGGCTCCATCTTCCCCACCAGGCCAGTTCTCAGAAGCACTGGGCTTAGGCCCCTTCTTGCAAGCTCCTTCAGGTCAAGGATGGACGAAGAGGGGTCTAGAATAGTGCAGGTGACCAGCAGCCAGGAGGCTAGGCGGCAGCAGCAGTTAGCAGCAACACTCACCAAAGGCCCTGGGACTGCATTTGGCTCTGTAATACTCTGTGATACTCTGCTACCCCAGGCTGAGCACACCCCAGGAGACCCTAAAGGCACAGGACTATTGGAAGTGACCTTGCAGGAAAGTTAATGTCTGTGCTTGTGAGGCTGGCCAGAAGGGGTTGCCACTCTGGGACCTCCTTAGAGTGACCCAAACAAGACATCTTTGGGGTTATGAGTATAGACCTTAGAGTCAATAAGAACTGGCCTTGAATCTCAGTTCTGGCACTTTTTAGCTGAGTGACTTGGGGCCTCTAACTTAACTTTTCTGATTTTTTTTTTTTTGGTACCAGGGATTGAACTTGGGTCCTTGCACTTGCAAGGCAAGCAACTGAACCACTGAGCTAAATCCCCAGCCCTTAACTTTTCTGATCTTGATGTCCTCATTGATACAGTAAGTGTATCAATAGCACCCATAATGGGTAAAATTGAGAATTCACTGCATCAAAGCAAGTGACCTGGCATCTGCTTGACTCTCTACTACAGTGGAGGCTCTTAATGCTTCTTCCTCGCTGGATAGCTGGCAGCAGATTTGAGGTTGACCCTAGCTGCTTCCTGACCTGTAGGTTTTCCATCTCTTTCCCTGCCTCATGAACCAGGGGTGGCAACTGGTGCTCTGAGAGGCCTAGAAGCCTAGTGCAATGATGTCTTTCTCTCTAAATACAGGCTGCTTATGCAAATAGGGCCTTTCACAGCCTGGTCCACCTCCTAACCCCAGTTCGATGACACCCCAGTTGGGGCTAAAGGGATGGGGACATCTCCCTGCAATTCATGGTCCACTGTGTGGCACGACCCTGGGGCTTCCTCCTGCCCCAATAGGCAGCTCTGGAGGGATCAGAGGCCAGGTCCACTGGTGGAAAATGGAGACCACACCCACCTTCCCCCAGCCTGGGTCAGGCTGACTCCACCCCTCACCTGCCAAGGAGCAGGAGCAAACCAATGACACCTACCTAAGCAAAACCAGAGAAATGAAGCCTGGCACTTGCTAGGCTTTTGATTAACACTAGCAGCTATGATGATGATAGGTGATTACTGGAAAGGCCAATGGCAAAGGCCATTGGTGATTCTGGCATGCTTTTTCCAGTCACCACCAACACCATGGAGTGCCTACCCCAAGTTGGTTGACAGAAGTTAAGCCTAGTATATTAAATAGCCCCATGTTTCATAAACTGTTTCACTAACATGGAGCTAGGCACGATGGTGAACACCTGTAATCCCAGCATGCTGGGAGGCTGAGGCAGGAGGATAGCAAGTTTGAGGCCAACTTGGGCAACTTAGCAACTTAGTGAGAGCCTGTCTCAAAATAAAAATATAAAAAAGGGCTGGGACTGTAGGGATGTAGCTCAGTATAAAGGCCCTGGGTTCAATCCTCAGTACCACAAAAAAATCAATCAATCAATCAAACACTAACCTGGAAAGAAAATATAATCGTATGGAAGAGTACATCCCTCCATCCCCAATTCCCAGAGGTAGCTGTCCAATATATATTTTTAGAAATATCTATGTATAAGCATACTTATGACTTGGGGGGGGGTGCTTGGGAGTGAACTTGGAGTCTTTGCAGTGATCTACATTCCCAGCACTCTGCCCCAGCACCCCCGCCTTTGGGCACCAGGGATCGAACTCAGGACCTTACACTTATGAGGCAGGCACAGCGCCACTGAGCTGTATCCTCCCCCCCTTATCTTGAGACAAGGTCTCACTAAGACATTCAGGCTTGGCTTGAATTTGCAATCCTTCTGCTTCAGCCTCGCAGAATGCTGGAATTTCCGGAGTGTGACACCACACATAGATTTAGCCCACCTGGGTGGGTTGGGTGCTGGGGATCAAACTCAGGGCCTGTATATGTTAAGCACATGCTCTACCACTGAGCTACATGCCCAGCTCCTATATCTGACTTTTAAATATAAACAAATAAGATCATTCCTATTACCTGTTCTACAATTTATTCTACTCACCCAATAATACACACTGACCAACCTTCCATGTCAATCTATAGAGAGAGACCCACCATATGGACTTTTATAGCTGCCTATGATAGTATTCCCATTATGAAAAGGCCCATTGGCCCATTTCCATTCCTTACACTCTTTAAAAAAATGATCCCGGGGCCGGGGATTTAGCTCAGTGGTTTCACTGCCTGCTGCACAAGTGCAAGGACCCAAGTTCGATTCCCCATACCAAAAAAAAAAAAAGATCCCATGAACATCCTTCCACATACTTTGGGAACTTTTGCAAATATATGTACAGAGTGGTGCAATTTGTGATAAAGTATGTGTGTCCTTTACACTCTAATATAGCCACATTTCAGAAAAGATTGTATAATTTACACTTCCCAACCAACAGTATTACAGAGTGTCTTAAAATATACACAGAATGGTACAGAAGGCACACAAATACCAGCCAGTGAGACAGAAGCACTGAAGGAGCCCATCAAGAATGGCACTGTGCTGCCTGGTGTCCTTAAGGGCAATGCACAGTGGCTTCCTCCTCTCCAGCCTTGTGCAGGCTAGTGACCCCAGGGTACCCTGAGTCACAGGACAGAGGGGCCTATAGGGGCCCTGGGAGTAAAGGGCAGGTCAGTGTGGCTGGGGTCCCGCCTGAATGGCTTCCTGAAACCATTGTCTCTGTCCTGCCTGGTCTCCTCGAGGGGAGTTTATTCAGAGGCCTGTGGGGAGGGTGTATAGTCCTCACCAAAGGCACCCAGGAATGTGTCACTGGAGGGAGAGAAAGAGGAAGGGGGGGTAACCCATCCCTTGGAGAGACCGGACGTCAAGAACCCCTGACTAATGAATAGCGAGTTTGCCCTTGAACCTCTCACTGGGCTTTGCCATTCTCAGGCACAGAACAAGAGCTGAGACACGTCTGAGCCCAGCTGCACGGGGGCGGCGGCGGTTCATCTCAGACCCTTTGACAGCCTGAGCCTTTTCCCTGCATAGCTCAGATCTGGCTCCCGGCTCCCCTGGCAACAGCACAGCAGCCTGGCTCCTGAGCCCAGGCCCTGCCTGCTTCGACAGGAGGAGGGAGGAAGAGGAGCACCAAGGGGAGGACAGCTGCAGAGAGGGAGTCATTAACTCCTATCAGGCTGGAGCCCAAGCTTCAGCAACTTCCCAGAATCCCCCCCGCCCCGTGCTTTGGCGTAGAAATGCGGATGGGGAGACATCTTCCTTTGCCAGTGTTCCATGGTACACCAAGCCCAGAACAGGCCAGGTGGGGCATGACAAGGAGGGCAGTGGTGGAGGAGATCCCAACAAGTCAAAGGCAAAGGACCCATGGGAAGGTTTGGGGTGCACTTCCTCGGGCTTCCTGCAAAGTCCCAGACAGGCAGGATTCCCAGGTTGCCCCCATCCTGGCGCCCCTCTACTACTGCACCACAGGACAGTGGCTGCTGAGTCTTTTTCCCCTGCTCTGCTTTTCACTTCCCCTTCTGATGATCTCCCATGTCCGGGGCAGCCTGGCTCCATCTTCCAATCCTGTGACCTTGGCAAGAGTCACCATTCTTCTGTCTCTGTTTCCATAAAAGCTGAAAAAGAGGCTGTCCCATCACTTCCCGTCACAGGACAATCTAAAGAAAAGAGAAATAATAGTGAGCAGCTTTGTACTCTGGGGAGGAAGCTGTCCTATATATCTCATTCAGGTATTATTAGGGCTGAAACTAGGTATCTCTGCTCCCCAGGGAAGGAAGGAAGGAGCTCTGCCAAGGTTGTCTTAGGACCTCCCTACAGGGCAGTCCTGAACCTGGAAGGCAGTAGGTCGGAAGTCAGGGGCTTCTGCTGTGAACTTTGGAGCCTCTGGGTTTGGCTGGGCTTAGGAAATGAGAGAGAATGAATGTTATCACTTCAAGGTCCTTTCTCTACATTACGTCTATGTCTCCAACTTTATGAGAAAGATGTGGTTATCCTCAATTTAGAACTATGGAAACAGAGGCTCAGAGAGGTCAAGTGGCACAGGGTCATTCCAGTCATACAAGAATCTTGTGCCCACATCATGGCCACACTTGTCTCAGCTGTACCAGTGGCTGAGCCACCTGGCTGCAGGTGCTATGGAGAGGGGCTGGGCACTAGGCAGTGCTGTCCCCATAGAAGACTTCTCGGGATTTTGAACTTTTGAGTCTAAAGGCCCGGCCCAGGGAAAGTCCTAAAGACTCTCCAAACCCATCCTGAGGCCACCAGGGCAATCAGGGATCAGAGCACATGGAACTGGAAGAGAAAGCAAAGGCATCTAGACTTGAGGCTGGGAGCAGACCTAGCTGAGACCAAGGCTCCTTGGCCCAAGTCTTCCTCCGGGGAAGATCACTTCCCAGCCACATGCCACTTGCCAGTAGAGTGGTAGGTTTTCCTTTTTGAAGCATCTAGGTGAAAATGGCTTCCTATATCCCAAGGTAGCTTGCAGGAGACAAAGCTGGCTGAGCTTCCTATAAACCGGGGAGCTGGGTGTGGGATACTGACAGGTGACAAAGTAAAAAAGGCAGGGAGAGCTCTCACATTGTAAAAATGCAAGGGCTAAAGATACAGCATCTTATCCAGTGTTCCTTTTTCTGGTCCAGAAAGGGAGATGGCTTGCCCAAGACCACTCAGTAGGAAGGTGGGCCTGGACTCAAGACTCTGAGTTCCAGCTAAGTGAAGCTGTCTTCTGATGCCCTTTAGCAGACCACGTAGGGCCCTCAAAGCAAAGATTTTGCCCAATCAGGCAAAGAGAAAGATCAAGAGAAAGAAGCCACTGCTCATAAAGTGCACATGTCCAGGAGTGGCCTCTAAAAGCCTCGGGCTGGGGCAGATGCTGCCTTGAGGTCAGAAGTGCTGTTCAAGGACAGATTATGGCCCCACAGCAACCCAACACCATACTCATCCCCTGTGGGCACACAGCAGGAACCACCTGCCTCCCTTGGCTGATGAAGAAGCAAAGGCCTAAGGAGGAGGACTGTAGTCCAGCCCAGTCCCACAATGCTTCTGAAAAGGGACAAGCAGAAAGCAAGAGCTCCAGGGCAAGCTTGTCCCCACTGAGATGGGCAGCAGAGCTGCAGTCAGCAGGGGGCCCGGAGCTGAGAAGGACTGCAGACCTGACCTGCTCCAAATGCAAAGGAAGTCCCAGGATTCCACACTGCATGACCTTGGCAGGAGCTGCCCTTGAAAGACGTCCATGTGCCTGGTGACAAACAGATGCATGATGTAGCAGAAGGACACAAAGACAAATGCACTGATCCCAGCCTGGCTGAACCCTCCTCCCTGGGCTGGTTTGGACCCGTTACCATCCTGACCGGTCAGTACCCAGGCTGAACCAGTGCTCAAATGTCTTTGATATCACTACTGTCCCCATCTCTGAAGTCATGGCTGTATTAAATGACCTTGAAAAGTTCAGATCCTTTATATCTGTCCCATACCTAAGGGAGAGAAGGAAAACTAACCCTGTTTAGTATTTCCTATGTGCTGATGCTCCTCACAGCACCTCCAGAGGTACAAGTTATTATTCCCATTTTGTACATGAGGGTGTGGAGGCTCCAAAACATTCAGGCATCTACTGGCCAGAGATCTTGCGCTAGGCCTCTGCCCATAGCATCCATTCCTCTCCCCTCCTCTCCAGCCAAGGTCTGAGCCTAAGCTGCGCCCATCCTGCCAGGCTACAGCCTCACCACCACCTAGGCTTAAATGTTACCACAATTTCAATCTCCTGACTCCTTGGGTTTTCTCAGGACGATCAGTCTAACATAGGAGGCCTGCTGTCTAGCAGACTTGCTTGGTTTTAGAATAAATCTGTCCCCAACACCATACTGCATTTTCCTGGCTGGCCGAGGGGACAAATACCTGCAAATGTGCAGATGGCATCTTCTAACTGGGACTGGCAGCCAGAGGGTTTGGGGGCTGGGGTAAGGTTGGTGACAGCTACTGAACAATAAAACCTTAGCCATGCAGAAAGGAACAAAGCCAGGTGACAGCTGACTGCATGCGGGCCTGTGCCCCAGCCCTCCACTGGCCACCACCCATGCTGGGGCCAGCCCAGTCAGGGCTGCTGCCTCCAGAGGGGGAGCCGCGCCTGGAATGTGATTCCCAGGCTTTGCGTGATGCTCAGTGACGCTCCATTAGCAGAGTGCGACTCCTAAGATCCCCTGTCACCTCCTAAAGCTCCTGCCAGCCCACCCCCTAGCACCATACTGATCACCAGATTAAGGGGCTCAGAGCTACAGCTGAGGCAGCTAAGACCTGGAGGGAAGCATGGGGAAGGGGAGGGAAGGTGGTGCGCAGTTCCCTAGTGTGGGGACTGATTGACGCAGGACAGCCAGTGGAGGGTGGTGCCTGCTAGAGGCAGAGCCCGGGGTCAAGTGAGGGCTCCCTGTGGGTCCCTCTGGCCAGCTGCTGCCTCAGAGCAAAGTGCACCCCACAACACCTGGGGAGAGAGGGGGAGTGTCAGAGATGGGTGGGGAAGGCAAAAAAAAGGGGACAAAAGAGAGAACCTGGGCATGACAAGCTTTTCCTTGGGACCCCAGTATTTCTGGAACCAGGGGCACCCCAACTCACTTAAAACATGCACAAGAGACAAAATTCCCCGTTTGTCCGTAGGGGTTACCAGGACTGAAAGAAATGAGATGGAACTGGGAATTTTACCATGTGAGTTCTTGGACTGGGAGAAGTACTGGCCTTTGGAGTTACGGTTAACACAGAGGCTACATGACAAGGGCAAGGCTGGCGGGCTGAATGGCCGGGAGCACCCAACAAAGAGTTTAAGCATCCAATGCCTCAGAACTGAGTCCTGAGAAAGACCCACACACATGACCAAGAGGAATGGTGCTGCTCCCCGGTTACTGGTTACTGAGTGGGACTGGGGAGGGGGCAAAAATGCAGGTATAAACTAGCTCAGATCTGCTTCGCAGGCATCCAGCCCCTGCTCAGCCCTGTCCCCTGTCCCCTGTCCCAGGGCCTGCAGAGGGTGACTAGGACACACCCAGGACCTCAACCAATAGCTGCTCTCCCTCCAGCATCTCCTATGTGGCCATGGCCAGCCTCTCCCACTGGCCATAGCCTGTTTCCCACCACTGCTGCATAGGGGCCGAGGATAAGGCTCAGGCTGTGGAGGAGGACTTTAAGGGCCTGAGAAGATAGCTCTGCCTGTTCCTGCTCCTCAGCCTGATCCGAAAACACAGGTCTGCACCTGAGTGTAGGTGGAGATGAAATCCTTCCTGAGATACATTCTCCGCCCCCAGTCAGAATCCATGCTCCCATTCTTGTTGTTGTACTGAATGAGCACAGGTTTGAAGGGATCAGCACCGCCACCACCATCACAGACTCTTCAAGTAGAAAGGAACAAAGAGATTCCTGAAGTTCACCTCACTCATCTTGCCAGTGAGAAAATGGGGACTCTAGGCTTGGGGAGCCTGGCCTGCCCAGTCACACAGCAAGGTGGTGGCCAGGCCATGCCTTGTGCCCTGCCTATCAGATCCCATTCCTTTCAGGTCAGGACTCAACAAAGGCCTGAGAGGGGTCTTCTCATCATATCCTAAACAAGATCTTGGCCCACCACAGGCAGCAGGGGTCTGGGGACAGGGGAGGCCATAATGCAATCAGCAGACTGGCCATCTGGCTCAGGGATGGAGGAGAGACCAGACTGGTCGCTTCTGCTGCCCGGTCCCAAAGGGCCCTGTGTTGCAAGAGGCAGACTGCCAGATGGACAGGCATTGGCCTGGGTCCGGGTGGAAGCCAGTGAGCTCCCTGTCATCAGGGCTGACCAACCCTCTGATGAGCAGAGTAGCAGTGGAGGGGCACAGGGAGCAAAGCCAGGCACCTCCAAGGACAGAGATGGAGGAGACCCCCCCCAGGCTCAGAGTCTGGCTCCCCAAGTAGGCCCAGCCCTTCTCAGCTGCAGGGCCCTCAGCCTGCTGGCCAACCACAAACAGGGCCCCCTCCCAGGGAAAGGCAAACACATCTCCCTTGGCACCTTCTCAGACATGCATGCAAAACTAATTAACATGGGGAGACATGCAAGCAGCCGGCCAGCTCCACACCCTCGAGTCCACGCAAACAAGGCGAGCCCTTGTCCGGGGGACCTGCACAAAGCTTTGTTGCTAATTTAGGCATCTGTCTCTGTCTGGTCTGGTCCTCCTGCCTGTGCTGGGGTTTTTCCCAGCCCCTTGGACAATGCTGGGAACAGGCCCGCCCGATCCCTTATTCAAATCACACCCGGGACAATGAGTTCATTGTGCAGGCCACAGAAAGGGGGATGCTGGGGGTGGGAGTGTGTAAGGGCCATAGGGGAGTGGAAAGGGTGGGGTGGGGGGAAGAAAATGGGAACCCAGGAAAGTGTTTACTAACACAGCCCTTGCAGCTGCCTTGGGCCCCTTTCCCCTCCACTGCCTGGCTGGGAGCTGGGGAGAAGGGCTGGGATTTAGAGGTTGGGGCACCGGGCAGGGGATGAGGGGCCTTGTGTCTATTGGCCCAGCAGATCTGAACTTGGCTGGAACCTTCATCTTCTTGGTCTGTCCTGTCCTCAGCGGTCTGCAGCTACTTCTGCATGTCCAAGCGGGTGTATTTTTATAGAATGGCTTGGGGGTCTTTTTTGCTTACTGCAGGCTTAGCAGAGTATGTGCAGCGACCCAACTAAAGAGGTGAGACAGGGATGGGGCGAGAGGTGTAGGCGCCTGTGCTGGGTGCGACCTGCTGTCTCAGCCATTGTCTTCAGGCAACATTTCATTTTCTCCTCCATCCCAGCTAATAAATTAGAGAGAAGACGGTGTGCTGAGAAGGGACTGGGTCCCCATAGACCAAGGTGATGGCAGGTGGGAAGGCGAATCTGTGTTCTCGTGGTCGGCAGAGCTGCTGCTCCTGGCACACCTGGACAGACACGTGAATGCTACCCCATCATGAGCAGCACGGGAACCCCTGTACCCGTCCATAGGGCATGGACATCTGTCCATGTCCTCCCCAGCCCAGGGGAAGAGCTGGGGCTCTGAAATGCCTTCCCTCTTAACCAGAACCACCCCCAGCTCCTTGTCGCACTGAGCGCGCCCAGACAGGCCGACATAAATAGACACGCACAGCCTGACACTGACACGCAGACACAGAAAGAAACACACACTCCCAGAGGCAGCCCCAGACACACACACTGACAATGGTGCGATGAATGCACACGGCAAGTGCATTCAGTCAAAAGCGCACACTGCGGCCGCCCAGCACCGCCCTGCACCGAGGTGGCTGGAAGGTTAGGGAGCAGCCTCCTCCCCACACATCTCCCAGGATGGGAAGAGAAATCCTATTTCAGGCTTCCATATAAAAGCAAACACCTCCCAAAATGGAAAAGTTTGGAATTGGTCTCAGCCTTTAGCGTTGGCTGAGCTACCCAGAGACCAATTTTTTTTTTTTTTTTTTTGAGACAGGGTCATGCTAGGTTGCCTAGGCTATTCCTGATCTCTTAGGCTCAAATAATCCTCCTGCTTCAGCTTCCCTAGTATCCAGACCCACAAGCAGGCACCACTGCACCATTTTTTGTTGTTTTTTTGATTTTAAATAATGAAAGAAAGGGTGCTCAGTAGTCATCTTTCTTGCCTTTGTACTGAGCTACATCCCCAGTGCTTTTTTTTTTTTTCTTTAGGCATGTTCTCCTTTTGTAGTTCAGATGGCCTTGAACTCACTATGTAGCCCAGGTTGGCATAGGCCACCACACCCAGACCCAGTGCTATTTATTTATTTATCTATTCATTTATTTTTTAGTGCTGTTTATTTTTGAGACAAGGTCTCACTAAGTTCCCTGGGCAGGACTTGAACCTGTGAACCTCCTGCCTCAGCCTCCCAGAGAGTAAGGATTATAGGTGTGCCCCATCATGCCTAGCTTTAATAGTCATCTTAATTGTCCCGACACTGGAGCCAGATGGAGCCTTGCTAGGGTAATTTTCCTTTGAAGTACAGTCCACAGGTTGTGGCCATTTCTTCCTGTTGTTAAAAATAATTTTTAAGAACAATAGGATGAGGGAACAATAGGATGAGGAGGAACACAAGTGGTTAAGATCTCAGATACCCATTAAAATGTGCATCTAGCTGGGCTTTATGGTGGCTGAGGCAGAGGGATCGCTACAAGTTCAAGGCCAGCCTGGGCTATGTAACGAGTTCAAGACCAGCCTGAATTGCATGATGAGCCTCTGTCTCAAATAAATAAATAAATAAATAAATGCAATGTGCTTCTGTCCCAGAGTAATGGAAATATATTAGGTTGAACCATATAAAATAGTCAATATTTGACTAACAAAAATGAAATTTCATATGGGTCAGCCTAATAGGCAACTGGTTCCAAGAAGAGGAACTCGTTTTTATTTTAAAAATTTATTCATCTGAGGGGCTGGGAATTTAGCTCAGTGGTGCTGTTGCCTGCCTTGGAAGCACAAGGTCCTGAGTTCGATCCCTGGTACCGCCAAAAAAAAAAATTACTTATCTGTTTGAGACAGGGTCTTGATACGTAGCACAGGCTGAGCTTAAGTCACCTTCCTGCCTCAGCCTCTCTGTAGCTGGGAATAGAGGAATGTACCACCATGCTCAGTTTCCCTTTTTAGATGTCCTCCCCAAGCTGGGTCATTTTCTTCCCAAAGAAGAAAACAACATTGATCCAAGACCCAACCCTATCTTGGACCACCCATTGAAAGCCACATCAAGATGCTGCACAGAGGTGGGGACAGCCCCTGAAAAACCACCTACACACCTGTCACCTGCAGCCTTGTCAGGGTGGGGTAGGACCCAGGTCTTTCCTGTCCTCTGATGCTGAAGCAAGTCTGGAAGGGTGAGAAGCACAAGAGAGGGAGAAGAGAACCGGAAGCAGGATGCCTGTGCACCACAATCATGGAGCCTAGGATCTGGGCACCACCAGCCCAGAGGAAGTGTTTCCCAGTGTGTGATGTCAGCTGCTTACCATGTTTAAAGCCCAGGCCAGTCTCTGTGCATGTGATGCTTTCTCAGTAAGTCACCTGCACGAGGTCCAAGCAAGGGAAGCCAGGAGGGAGCCAAGGCCACTAGCCCAGGGTAGGCCCACTGCATCCAGGGTCTGGACAGTCCACATGTCACAGAACTCAGAGACATGACGTCTTCCTGGGAAATCACCCTCGCCAGCTTCCCTGGGGTTTCCTAGAGATGGAAAGGCTGAAGATTTCAGAAGCAGAGTCCAGCACTGCTGGGCCTCACTCCTTACCCCTCACTGGTCCACAGAAGAAACCCTGTCCCATGGATGGTACTCTTGCCACTTTGTCTGTGGCAAAGCTGAGAAGAAACATTTCCCTGCACTCAGAGTCTTCCAGTGGCCAAGGACTGGGGACTACATTCAGAAGTCTAGAACCACCTTCCATCCAGCCATGGCATTGTCTCTCCTGCATCCTGGACAAATTCTATGTGATGTCTCTTGAGTTTTATTTTACTAACGCATATATCGACCTCAACGCCAAATTCACCATGGTAATAGTAACATGAAACCTATTTGCTCTTCCTGTTCCTGAAAGGCAAGTGAGGAAAAGAGAGGTCACAGTTGAGGCTCCAGGGCTGGTGGATTTGCAGGGCTGGGCCCCAACCCAGTTGCTACATGGATGACTCCTCAGGGCTCCAACTGGGGATGTAGCACAGTGACACAACATTTGCCCAGCATGCAGGAAACCCTGGATTTGATCCCCAGCACAAGAATGAAAGAAGGAAGAGAGGGAAGGGGGTGGGAAGGTAGGGGAAACAAACAAAAAATACAAAAGAAATTCCAGCTGTGTGGAAGGAAGGTGGCTGGATGCCAGTTTACAAGAAGACCCGCCTCCAGCCTGAGTAGAAACAGAGTAGAATTCTAACCTTGGAACTCAGAGCAGCATCTGACTTCTTCAAAGGAGAAGAGACCTGTATGAAAATTCCTCTAGATATAATTTATTATTTGATTGCACTTAAGATGTTTCCTACCAGCCTCACACATAAATCTCAATAGGTTACTTACTGGTATTCTGATTCTTCAGATCAAAGTTGTTTTTAAATGAAGAAAGTGAAACTATATAGAACCAGAGGGATCTAGAGCTAAATGACAGCTTAAAGTTGCTGTGGGCAAAGCATGCAATGGCCTCTGACCCTGTTCTCCTGGCTCTTGGGCCATGGAGAGAGACAGGAAGGCAAAAAACCACAGACTGACGCTAACTGTCACAGCCCCAGAGCCCAGAGCCCAGCCCTCCCTCCCCTTTGCTTGGCCTCCCCATTCTGGATGGACAGATGAAATTCCATATCACACAGCAAAAACCCCAGCCAGGAACTGAGGTTTCCTCCTCGGTGTCCCCAAGGCCTTGCTTCACACATAATGCACCGTCAATAAACGTTGAATATTCAAGTGAGTGTGGTAGAGAAATACAATGTGGCGTGGGAAGACTTCCAACTCCTGAGCTCTATGGCCACTATGCATGCTGGGAAATGGCTCTGTGGCTCAGCCTGGAGCTGCTGCATCCAAGCCAAGTGCCAAGAGGTGACAGGCACAGGGTGGTGTGCCCATTCAGCTCCAGCTGCCTTGGGTGGCACAGGGCCTGGAGACCCCCATGCCCACCCATCTTGCACATGACCAGCAGACTGGTTCCTTCAGCCAGCTCCTCACCCTGTCATTCTCAGCCTCCACCATCTGACTTGACCTTCTGTACCCAAATTTGAAGCCCAATCTAGTGGGGCTCCTCCCTGCCCCTCTGTCCCCAGCTCTGAACTTCTGGTCAGGGGGTTTCCTCCCTGGCAGGGATGTCCCATCCTGCCCTCTTCATAACCTACAAGGCCTGATTGAGTTTGAGGAGCTTTCTCTGATGCTCCCATCCCAAAGGAATGCTTCTTCTATCTCCTAGGGCCTGAGTCAAACAATGTACTCCTGAATGTGGTAAGGCAACTGTTGGGGTCTCACTACTTACATTTCATGAGGTCAACAGCGACTTTCTCTGCTCCTAGAGGTTGGGGAGAGGTCAGAGACTCCTGGCACCACAGAGCTTTTGAATGGTCAGTGCGCACCAGTGACTGACAGACAGCTGAACTCAGTCTCTTGCCCACCTTCCTCAGGGCCTTCCCTCATGGCAAACGTGACACCAGCAAGACGGGCGATGCAAACTTTCCCTTTCCCCAGCACTTGCCAAGGAAATGACACACTCTCAGAGGCACCATGCTGCCATCTGGGCAGATAAGGAGTCCTGATACCCTGTGCTTAGGACTGAGAAGTGTGGGCACTGCCAGGGCTAACGCTGCTAACATTGCAGCAACCATCTGGCCTCACCCCGAGGAGCTGCAATCCCTTCGCACTGTGCACAGGCCGGCAGACATGGGCCACCTGATTTTCGGAGAGGCCCAGTGCCCAGCTCTGGGCTCTCCTGTCTGGATTCTGCCAGCCCAGAGTAGGAGCTGCTGCCAAGGTATCCTCTACCCTTTAGTCACCCAACAAGCTTACACTACTTCCCAAAGCCCAGGCTGGTTCCTCGGGAGACCAGGGCCTGCTGGGGACCGAGACACCCTCCTAAGCCTCCAGCTTTGAGGAATAACCTATGCAATCAATGGCCCAGATGGCACCTGGCTTAGCAAAGGAGGGCAGAGTTATATTATGTTTACCGCTCTTCCTGTTCCCCAAGAGCCAGGCCTCAAAGGAGACACTATAGCAGTGTTAGCCCAGAACCTGGCCCAGCCCAAACGCTCGGTAAATGGTCCTGTCGCCCTCATCACGGCTCATGATGACTTCCTAGCTCCCCATTCCTCCCTCCTAAGCTCAGGTGAGGAGCCTGCTTTTCACAGACTCATGGCTTCCTGGAGCTAGAAGGCCCCAAACCCAGCCCAGGGCTTCCCAGGCAGGAAACTAGAGTTTCTGAGAGAGGCAGGGGGCTGGAGTTAAGAGTGGCTTCACACCGGGGGTCCTTGGAGGTGAGAAGGCTAAGCAGGCCCTTCTGCCCTGCAACAGCAGGATGAGCCCAGCATCTCCCCAGAAAACCTCTCTGAAGACCCAAGGTCTGGCAGGGAGCCAGGGCAGGCAGCCTCTCCAAGAAGATGCTGGCTCAGCGCCACGGCGGCCCTGAAGCTCCTGCTCACACAACACTGGGAGGCCCAGGCAGAGGGGAGGAGGGGCAGCCAGGAGCCCTTGGCCAGAGGAACCCGCCCAAAGAGGGTTGGCAGGACCTAAGTGCACAGCTGCCTTCCGTGTCCAGTGGTTTCAGCACATCTGGGAGACTGTGAAATCACTGTCCTGCCTTCTACAGCTGTGCCCATACAAACTGCACCAGGGTAACACCAAAGCTTCCCTCAGCAGTGCTTCCAGAGTCACCCGTTGGCTCTTCTGCCCACACACTAATGCTGACAACACAGTGTTGCTACGGGCACAGCTGTAATCCCAGCTACTCAGGAGGCTGAGATAGGAAGATTGTGAATTCAAGGCCAGCCTGGGCAACATAGTGAGACCCCTTCTCCAAAAAATAATTCCATTGCTAATCAAAACAAAGCAAAACACAAAGGTGCCTGCAGGTTCAGGCCACAAATTCTGCCTCCAAGGACTGAGGGGTGATCCCTACTTAAAGGGCTGTCCTAGGCTTTCCTAAAAGCCCCTAAAGCCTAAGGCTCTTCTCCTGTCTCCACCCCGGCTTTTTTCTGGTCCTCAGAGGCCTCACAGGGGGAGACTAGGTTAGTTACTGGATATCAGGGCTGGAAAAGGTCTTGATCCTCTAGTCTACACCAGCAATATCCAATAAGGTGGGCTTCATATATAATTTTAAATGTTCTAGAAATCTCATTTTAAAAGTTATTTTATTGTGATAGTGGGGATTGAACCCAGCACCTCCACACTGAGCTACATCTCCAGCCCTTTAAAAAACAATTTTTTAGGGCTGGGGATGTAGCTCAGTGGTTTCACTGCCTGCCTTGCAAGCACAAGGTCCTGAGTTCGATCTCCGGTACCAAAAAAAAAAGGAAAAAAATTTTTTTAAAAAAACTTTTGATATAGGGTCTAAGTTGCCTGGCCTGGGCTTAAATTGTGATCCTCAGCTTTCCAGAGTGCCGGGATTACCAGCTGCACACCACCACGCCTGGCTATTTTATTTCATTCAATATTATCATTTCAGTGTGCTGTAGTGACCACATTTCACAAGATCAATGGCATGCATGTCTGATGGGCATGCACTGGACAACACAGCTCTTCTCCCTTTTTTCAGATGAAGATACAGCACACGGATCTACATAAAGGGCACCAGGGCAGAAGGGGAAACCCCACACGCTGTCCTTACAGCTAGGATGATCAGCTTCCAAATGCATAGCCTTGGCCCCAGGAAAGGGGATTTTTATGATCAATCAGATTCAGAGGGATTGTAACATAAACCTATTTGAAACAAACAACCCAGAGAGGACTAGGAAATGGGTATACTTGGCATTCCAAGGCTAAGGAACAAAGACAACAGAAAGAAACAGGAGGGAGACTCTGGGAGACCTCTGGCATCAGACCCAAGTCTTGTTCAGGACCTCGGTTTGTGCCATCCTTGCCCAGAGACACCTGGCTCCCACCGCGTGTGTAAATACCCACGCTCCAACATGGGGTCTGTTGAATTTTCCACCACATCTCCCTGGAGAACTACCCACAAAAGCTCCTCTCTGCTTTAGAAGCAAGAACAAATCGTGCATTTACCCAGTGCCTCTAGTCTTCTTACTCTGAGTCGCCATGCCAACACACAGTCATAATTACCGAGGAACGCGTCAATAGTGGCAGCATTGACAAAGACACTATATCAGGGCCTGTGAGCTAAGCAAGGTCAGGCTCCTCGAAGCCCCCCAGCTTCCTGCCCACTTCCTTTATTCCACTCTGATGCATCTCTTTCCCTTCATTCTTTCTCTCCCACCCAGATGGTCTCTGATTATACTTTCTCTGCAGAGAAAGGAACTATAGCTCAGTATATAAAACACTTTGATAGCAATTTGGAGATAGGTCCTCCTTTGAGTCCTGATTTTAACTTGTGGGAAAAGTCACTTTAACATCCATGTCTCAGGTTTTTGTTTTTTTTGCTGTGAATGGGGAGAGTATTTTGGACCCTGCCAATTTAGCAAGTGGGTGCCTGCATTTAATTTGCCTTCTGAATTCAGGGGCTGAGAAGCATCATCTAGTCATCGCCAAGACCATCTTTATGATGCGCACTAGAGGTACCAGAAACTCAGGGAAACGAAAGAAGGCTCAGGTCAGAGAGGGAGTTGGTTCTGACTCCCTGGGAACAGCAAGGCTTGTATGTCCTCCCAGGAAGAGTAAAAATCTCAGAAAAGGAGCCAGAAGCAGCTGAATGGTGGGCTTTATCAGATTATGAAAAGATGAGTGGGATGGATGAGAACTATCAGTCTAAGTGACAAGCATCCTGAGGCCCCCAGTGAGAAACAGGACATGCACCCATTTAAAATGAGAGGTCAGAAAAAGAAGGCAAAAAGCCATCACCGGAGCCCTAACACAAGAGCGCCCCAATTTCAGAACACCCAGTACACCAACATCTGAACTTACAAAGGAGATAAATTGGAGGTTGATGATTAGCATCACAAAATGATTATTCCCTTTGTAAAAGGCTTCACTGCAGGACTGCTTTAAATAGTGCATTTAAACCATGATCTGATTTGCTAAATTCGATTTATACACATCCACTGCCTAAGCTGGCGTGCGGCTGTATTTACATGTCTTCCCTTGGCACGGAGGAGGGGAAAAGCCAGCTATTATTTGGGGCCTTTAATCCTTGTAGACAGTAACTAATCTGGGGAGCTGAACCCTGGTTTTCTTCCACAGCTGGGGCTTTAGCTGCAAACTGGCCCCGGTTCTCCACCCTGCTTTGCGTGTGCAGACCAGACCCTGTCCAAACAAGCCAGGCAGGATTTGGCCAGGACCCTTTGGAGCCCTGTGGCCATAGGGGCTCCCCACCAAGAAGAATACTTCTCTCTACACCCAGGGGTGACACCTTTCTGCTACAGATTTCCATTGAATTGGGTCGGTGGCAGAGTCTCTACCTTTATTTAGCACCTCTGGTCATCATGCCAGGGGTTCAGAGGCTCTCTTTTGAGCTCCATGGAAATTTACTAATCTCAGCCACATTCTATGATTTGTACCTAAGCCATGGGAATCAAACCCAGTTTGAGTCTGTAACCTAGTAGTTACAGAAAGGAGGCTGGCCCTCCGCCCA